TAGACAATCAAATTTTTTTTTCATATTAGTTTATTATAAAAATTTGATTAGACAATCAAATTTTTTTTTCATATTAGTTTATTATAAAAATTTGATCTCCAATCAAATTTTTATAATAAACTTAGTGCAATAATTCTTTTTAATAAATTTTGTCATGCATTTCATTTTGATTCGTATTTTTAAATATAATCAACACAAAATACATAATAATTTTTTTTCATTTTTGACTATAGGTGACTATATTTCTCAATAACACACAAAAGTCAAAACAGTGTTAGTCAAAACGTTAAGGTTTGATCGATTCTCCGTTTGGAATGAAATCCAGATTCATGTTTAAAACAGACTTTCAAAAAACGTTGATATTCAAACGTATTTTAGACGTTTGTTTTAGGATTATTACACGTAAATAAATCGTTTAGATATAATCAAATTAACGTTTAGATCTGGTCTAATAAACGTATATAACCCAGTGGACACGGACATAAGAAAGACATCTTTTAAACTTCTTATACACTTTTTGGACGTCTTTTGAACGTCTTTTGAACGTTTTGGACGTCTTTTGAACGTTAAAAAGACGTCTTTTTTTGGTCCGGTGCTCACTGGGAAAGCGTTTAGATTTAGTCTAACTAAACATATATTAAGCTTTTACATTTTGTCCAATAGTTTCTTTGATTTAGTTAACGTAATTTTAATTTATATAAGTTTCAAAACTTATATAAATTAAAATTAACTTATAACTTTTTAATTTTATATAGGGTAAGTGGGAGCATAACCGCATATGGAGGCACCACCGTTTTTTAACATTTCCCTTTCGAAAAATGTTATCTAACATAGCAAAAAACAAACCACGCGTTAGTAAAACACTTTCCTTAATTTCCCTAATGCCAAAAAGAGTATCTGTTACGTTGTTACTGAGAAGTTACTGTTACTGTTTCTGAGAAGTTGGGCCTAATTATGTTTATTTTAATAAAAATATTATATTTACATTATATTTTTCTAGACCTTTTTGAGATTTAATCAATATTTGATTTTAGTGTTAAAAGTATGTTATCAGCATTATTTTATCAAGTAAAAACCATTTTTAATATCATTATAATCTAATAAGCAAGCTATTAAACTGTATTCTTTCTAAAAACTGTCCTCTGCGGCAGAACCGCATACTTTTAATATTTATCAAAGTTAGGCAATTACGAATAACAATAATTACAATTGTCACACTTGAATGCGTTCATGTAAAAACCTGAATAAAAATAGTTTTGTGTTGAGATGTTGGAAATTAGATTTCGTAATTATTTATTTATTTTTTATAAATATTGAGTCCGTTTATTCAATTTTTATAAATATTGAAACTATTTATTCAGTTCAGGATATTAGAATCACTATTTCCTTTGATACGAAGCTCTTTAATCACTGTTCTCGTATTTCAAGCATAGCATACTTTTGCATTTATTTACTTTTAAGATTCTTCATCTTTAACAGTTCTCAACTTTTGTTAAAAGCTTAATAAAGTTTATGTGCGGCCTGTATTAGAATCTTGCAACAGAGTTTGGAGCCCTCATCTTTTAAAAGATATAATTTGCATAGAAAAAGTTCAAAAATATCTTACCAGAATTGTCATATTACATCCACTGATTACTGATCAAGAGTTATTGTTTTCTAACTAGGATCTTTTGAGTATTGCAGTATTGAGTTAAAATATTTAAAATATTTTATTAGGAGTCATTCACAAAAGTTTTCCCCACGTAATAAATACATTAATGATTAATGATTTTTTTCAACGAAAGAACCATTAAAGTATGGAACTCACTTTCTCATTACATTGTGAACTCGCCCTCACTGTCAGCATTCAAATCAATTTTTTAAAAGTATGATATAAATTGTCACGCAATCTACTAACTTAGTTTTTCACATTCACTCATATTAAATTTTCTTTTTCTTTTTTTTTTTTGGTGTTACATAAGAGTAATTTAGTGATTACCTGTCTCACCATTTTATATTTTGTATGTTTTTCAAATAGCACCAATAAAAACCACCAAATTTTTTTCTTAATTGCACCAATTTAAAGCTTAATGCTGTGGTTACTGAAATAAACTGTTAATCCAAATTTTGAACAAACGGATGTACCCCCACTTCCCCTAAGTAATAAGACCTATTGAAATATGTAAGTAAGATATAGTTGTAAAATTATATAAGACCTGTATAATAATAATAAATATATATAGTACAATAGTAATTAGTTATCCTTATTTTTTATAGCTTTTATAACTATAATATATTTATACAATTTTATACTGTACTACTTATACTATACTTTTAAACTATAAAACTATTTATAAAGTTATAAACTTACATAAAACAATTTCATATAGTTGGGATTTAGGGACGATATAAATTATTATTGGAAAATTAAACTTAACATTTATATTAAGTTAAAGATTACTGATACAATTAATTAACAGATAAAAATATATTTTGAATCACTGTTTTCTATGTTCTCTCACTGTGTTTTCACTGTGTTCTCTAAGTTATGCTTCATCAAAAATCTTTCTAGCAACATCATCATCTTTTTTGTGCAACATCATCATCTATATTCGCATTCCTACCTTCCTATCCCCTATGAGGCTTTTTTAAAATATGAGTACAATAGTACATTGTGCTTTGGCTATTGTTGTGTTTAGAAAGTTGTATATTATAGATTCAAAAAAATAATTATTATTGAAAGAAAGATTTTCTGAGTGAATGTTTTCCGAAATTTCTTTTGCCATCCATGTTCGTTTTTGACATTAAAGAATTAGTAAAAATTTGCAACGTTATATATGCAGTGACAATTACCAGATCTGTTTACAGCAATTTTCTTTAGCAAACGCAACTAAAATAGCCAAACCTAATAATTATATCTAAGAAAAATAACTACTGTTACATAATACTAGCGTTTTTGTAACGAATTTAAACTCTTTATAAAAAAACGAAAAAATTTCTTGCAGCTCCACACTTTCACAACGAGAGACCAGCAAATGTTCAACTTAATGCGGCATCCAATAATCTCTAAAACAATATATTGCATTGTTTTATTGGCATTTAGGAAAGTAGGTGCTATTTAATTTATTTGCTTATTTTATTCGAATAAAGTAATAAATGATAATAATGTTCACGAGCAAGGCCGCCAAGAGGGGGAGGGAGAATGGAAAGGAACAGTTTGTCCCAGGTGAAAAATAAAAAGAAGGGGCGCCAAATAAAAAAAAGATGTCCCAGGCAGCGTGACGGCTCCCGGAGAATCTGTTCAGGAATATTCAGGACTTCAATAAAATATTTACCTTTATTACATGTATGTTGGCGGCAAGAATAAGCACTTTTTTATATTTACGTCTTTATTTTCGTAATATTATATATTTTTTAACTTTTTGAATGTATAATTTCTAATATCTATAATTTTGTCTTTTTCAATTCCGACTTAAATATGCCTAATTGAACCGCTTAGCTAAAGTTGTCATATGAGTCTTCTGACCAAAGGGTATAATACTATACTATAATATAAAATACTTTTATTAAACGTCGATCAAACGTTTATAATATCGACTTATATTAGTCAATATTGAAAACGTTTAATCGACATTTCATTAAGGTATGTATTAAAAGATTTAAAGCGTTGACTAAATTTTTACATTTATTTAATGTTGATTTAAGGTTTGCAATATTGACAATATTGACAATATTGATATTCTAAACGTTACGTCGACGTTTAGCAAACGTAAATATAAAAAAGTTTGTATTTTATAATATATGTAAATATATATATAATATTTCTCAATATTTAATATTATGCAAAAAACAAACAAACAAGCAAAAAAAAAGCAAACAAAATCTTGAAAAATTACATTAGTTTTCATCAGTATATATCTAATGTCAATATATAATATGTAATTAAAAAATATTGTTGTTCAGATTAAAATTTCTTAATTATTTTGTGGAATAGGTAATAATTTAAAAATATAAAAATATGTTATCAATTAGAAAAATTACTTCTTTAAGTTTTCTTTTAAAAGAAAAATAATTCCATTTATGCGAAAAATCAAAATGTTTTAAAACTATTTTATTCCATAAAAAAGCTCGACGGTAGTGAATGCAAGATTTGCCTATATTTGATTGAAAAATCGGTTGTTGGATATGTTTATTATTTCTTAATATATATATATATATATATTTTTCTTTCATTGAATATAAATTATAAAAAGAAACAGGACATGCATTAATTTTGCATTTAAACATAAAACAAAGAACGTTAAATATATTTGCTTCGTAAATATTAAGAATATTCATGTTTAATAATAAATGTGCCTCATATTTGCATTACAAGCTGGAGGTAATACAAGTGGAGTTTCTTTTTTTTTTATTTCATTGTCTGCATGCGTGTCAGAATGAAAGACACAAATTTTACACAAATAACAAATTATTTTTATTTTTTTAATTACAGAAAAATATTTACTCTTTTGTAAAAAAAAAGTCATTTGATGCGATTCTATTAAATGTTTGATTCAGAAAATTTAAAACTAAAGTAAAATGCTAAGTGTTAGAATATGAAACGTAAATAAATGTAAAAGTGTGGATAATCTTAACTTCTTCAAAAAAAAAGTTATCGCACTTAGGTATGCTGTACAACATTTTTCTATTCATCCGATCCGTAAATCTTGCTAATGTGGCGAATATAATTTATCATCATCAATTTTATCTTCTAAAAAAAAAGCATTAACAAATATTATTGGATACATATACTTTTATTTCTTAATCTTTTATATGTTTGAGTATTTGAATGATAAAGTAAAATTATATGCAGCATTAAAAAAATAATTAAAAAATTCAAAAATAGCAATTTTTTGAAGTTCTAACCGTGCATACTCATGCTTTATAAACTCAAAGAATTATTATTTTATTTAATTTATAAATAATAAAAAATTTTATAATTTTTAAATTTAATTCAAGAAATGTTTTTTTTTTATTATTAGGTTCCAACGTATAACTACGTCGGAAACATAAACAGTAATGGCAGATCTAATTTCAAGTTTAACCCAGATGGAACTTACCGGGGAAAATTTTCAAAACATGTTTCAAGATAATCTCAAACAAATTGATGAACTTTTAAATTCTTCTAAAGGAAAAAATATTGTTGCGTTTGCTGGATTAACTGGTTCTGGTAAGAGTACTCTTATTAACTACCTATGCAGAAAAGAATTAAAAGTTGACGAAGACGATAATATTGTATTAAAAAATCCGAGTGATGAAAATGCAATGCAAATCGGAATAACCAGTGTTTCAGAAACATTTTTGCCAAAGTTTTGTAAATATAGAGATGTTTTACTTTACGATTTACCAGGATTTTGCGATTCCAGAGGAATGCTTGTGAATTTATTCAACTCAGCAATAATTAAGAATATTATTGAAAATGCTGACACTGCTGTCATTGTTCTTGTAATTAGTGAAGATGAAATCATTGCAGGAAGAGGTAAACTTTTTAAAGAGCTTATTTCTCGTTTAGAAACACTAATTCCCAACGTTGTATTGCAAAAAAGAAGTGCATTAGTAATAACTAAAAGTTCACCTGGAAAAAATGTTGAAGCCTTGGTGAGAAAGCTAAACCAAAAAAGTGATGGGGATGCTGTAATGATGTGGCATTCCATCGGATGTCTTGCAAAAATGCAAAAGGCTCATGAACAAAAGATTGAAGAAACAGACCGAGAACAAATTATCGAAGCAATCTTTAATGTTCCGCAAAAACCCATAAGTTTGGTTGATATTTGCGTTACTTATGATTACAGTTTGTTAAGTTCATTTAAAAAGATTTGTAAAAAAGAGATACAAAAAGTTTTTCAAAATTATCTTTTGAAAATACTGGATGTAAAATTAATCAATTCTCTTCCTATTTCAGTATTAGCAGATAAAATAAATCAACTTAAAAAATCTGTTGACGAATGTCAGTTTGAATGTTCAACACTTATTGTGCTTTTAAAAACAATTTCACAAAACATTTTGGAATCTGCTTTAGTTAAAATGAGAGATAAAATGAGAGTCCAAGTTGACAACTTAATTTTGCTATGTTTTATCGAAATTGAGCAACAAAAAAAGAAATCAGAAAGCAGTAGTTTAATAAAGATTATTCGTGAGATAAGTGTTACAGCAGTTATTCGTGAGATAAGTGTTACAGCAGCTGCTTTCAGCTTAAGTTTTTTATTTAAAAAAATTTTTAGGTTTTAAACAAAACAAACCAGGCAGTTGGCAGCCATACTACGCATTATCCTGTGTATACTTGAATATTTCTTGTTATTATTATGTTTGTGTAATTTAAATATTTAAAAACTTATTAACAGTTTTATATTAATTTTGTATTTAATGATATATTTTATAACTATAAAAATTTTGTATTGCACCGCTTTTATTTGAATTGCTTGATTAGCATTTCATATATTCAAACTTAAGAATATTACAAACAATGGAAGGCTCAGTCCAAAATTCTTTTGGGAAAAATTTTAAACAAGGGTCCTATACTCCTTAATGCATTAATTTTTGCATAAAGAAAATGACTTTAAATTGAGATTCAGCTCTATAAATTTCCATGTCTATGCAACAATTATGGAAATATCTGGTAGCTATAGCATCTCAAATAACAAAATAATTAGTAAACAGCGAACCAATAACCTCAGGATGTGTCACATCAATAAAGTTGCATTTCAGGAAAAAAATGAAGAGTCTTTTAAAAAGAATGAGACACCGTCTTTTACAGTGAAATCTTCAAGTAAATTTTTTTTTTACTGATCGGCATAAATGCTATAAGATGTTCATCAGATAATGTTGATTGCAGTCCAGTTTTTATAATTGTTAATTTTGATAAAAATTCTTTCACAGGTTACTTAAACAAAAGTAAGTGTCAGTAAATAATTGTAAGCAAGGAAAAAATTAGAAAATGTTGAAGTCTGTAATAAATATTTGTAAATAATTATGAAACAGCATTGCAAAACATTTTCACAGGTTGCTGTCTTTGTGGTTTAAATTTCTGTATCAATTGAGAAGACTGCTATCACTTTATAACCTTTCTCATCAGCAGGACCTTCATAAATTTTTGCAGCAAAGTCTTTATGTAGTGTTTTTGCCAAGCTTCAATAATTTTGAATAAATGATAATAATTCCGTTAGTAAATCTTCAGCATTAAGATCAGCAAATTCAGTGATTCAAACCAAGGCTTGAACAGATAATTGTTAAAACTTTAGGTTTTTCTTTTTCTAAAAATTTTAAAATCTTCTACGATTAAAGCAGGCAGTGTCTTTGACAAGTTGGTCATTTGATGAAAACTGCTCAGTGATGTTAAAATTATGTGCATAAAATTACTTTGAGATCGCTTTGAAGAATTAGCTCATTTACTTTGTTCATAAATAATTTTGTTTTGCGTAAACCTCATCAAATTCTAGGTCTTGAGTTAATCTTTGGCTGTTTACGCTATTTTCCAAACACTCAAACAATCAATGTTTTTGGTCTGCAAGAACTCTGAAGCATCTGATATACACTGAGTTGGGAGCAACTTTTATGAATTTTTGAGCAGCAACTTTTATGAATTTTTAAATGCCATTATATTGACCACGCATCTTGGTGGTACCGTCAAATGATCCCCCTGAGCATTTTCTATAGTCAAAATGTTTTGTTTCTTTTGTGAACAGATATCAATAGTTGATACAGTGCAGATCATGAAGAATCTTGAATTTTTTCAGACGAAATCAGGTTTTCACGCCTTTTAAATTTTTTTTTACTTTAAAGATTTTTGTCTTTTTTATATGTCTTTGCGACGTTTTCTATATGCACAGTTAGGTACATCAAACTGAGGCAGTATTTAAATAATTTTAAATACTGCCTAAAAAGTTTCCTCGGCCCAAGGTCCTATCTTCTAAACTTTAACCTGATTCATTCTTATGTCCTTTGCATAAAAAAGATTATTTCCCAAAAGTTTTATATCAGCCAGTATTCATTTTAGAGTTTTAATATTGTTCAGTTACTGTTTTTGGACAACTACTATATTCCCTTTCATTAACGGTCTAATAAGATTAGAACCTTTTGTAATATAAGGCGCTAATACTGCCATACTATGAATATTTAATGACTAATGTTCATCAATTCTTATAAATGAAACGGTGTCTACAGTCCTCAACGGCAAAAAGTACAATGGAATACCACCCTTTATAATTATAATAAGAAGTTGCTTGATCTTTAGGGGCTGATATAGCTATCTGGCATCCATCAACAGCTCCAATGCATTGGGGAAAATCAAAAATAGCTTTGAAATTTCTACTTTATTTAAATTTTCTTCAGACAATGGATATTGAACATATTTAGGGAGCAAAATGTCAATAACAGCGTTAATAAATTCACGAACAATTAAACTTGTTGTTGACTTTCCAATGCCAAAACGGCTAGACACAACACAATACTCTTCACATGAAGCTAGATAATGTAATGCAACTGCAACACGTTTTACTACTGAAATAAAATCTCGCATAGTTGTGGCAGTTTTGCCTAAATGTGGATGCAATTCATTAACTAGGAAATTAAATGTGTTACAATTTACTCGAGAATGTTCTTTAAACTCACATTCTTCCATTTGAGTAATAACTTTTCAGCCTAACCCTAGAATTTCTTTTAGTTAGATCCCCTTCTTTAAAGGCTTTATTTATAATGTCTTTAATACGTATTTTTTTAATATATTATGCAAATCTAAAACATCTTTTTTCGGCGTCGAAAAGACGTCTTTTGTAATCTTAATCTTGTCATGAAAAGATATAAAAAATGCGTCTTTAAGACGTTTTTTTTAGTCAATTATGCAAATCTAAAAGACATTATTTTTCGACATCGAAAGGGCTCTTTTTTGTTTTTATCTTGTTGCCAAAATACATAAAAAATGCGTCTTTAAGACGTCTTTGTTTATTGATTATGCGCTTCTAAAGAAGTTTTTTTTCTCGGAGTCGGAACGACTGTTTCTTGACGTTGTCGAATAAAATTAATTATTTCACGTCGAGAAATTCTAACGTACGAGCTGGTTACGCACGGCTGTTTCAGAGTGAGCTTTACGGCTTCTTGTTTTTTTTTTTTTTAATTTTAACGTAAAGGGTGTTACTAAAATATTTATAACTTTTGAAATATTAAAGATAATTTTGTTTTGTAACAGGAATAAAAACAACAATAAAATGTTTTATCATATGACATTTAATATAATAGTAAATAAACTTCTTTTAGTTTAGAAAAAACGCGACAAATGATGAAATTGGCTGAACTTTAGTAATTTGTTATTACGTCTTACTTTTCTTGATGGTATTCATTAAATCTTTATTAAAAAAGCTGTCCTGGCTGTGTTACCATTGGTAACTTTTCCACTACTACCTGTTTTTGTTTGATCTATTATCAATTCAAGTTTATCCAAGAACCTTTTCTGAATTAAATTATTTTTCTTCATTTCTGAATTCTTGGCTCCAATTGATCTTGATTGCCAAAATTTTATTTTTAATTTATATGCAATATGCAATAAGCATTCAAAGTATCTTACCTAAGCATGCAAGGTTGAAAGACCATACTGGAGACCGTGAGTGGAATGCTTTTTTTTAATAAGAATTTCAATATCATTCATCTCTGAAGAGTTACATCTACACACTGAACATGACTAACTAAAATCAGTTGCGTTGGAAAAGTTTTCTCTTCGACAGCTACGATGGATGGAATAAAATTTGCTATTTCATTTTTAATTTTACTTTCTTCATTGATTAATACAGATTTAGTTTCTTTTTTAAACTCAAAATTCAGAGGTCGACATAAATGGTTGACGATAGCTTTAAGTTTCTTCATAAAAATTTGTGAATAGCTCTAAAGGAACAGCACAAGTCAAAAATAAAGAGTTTTTATTTGATAAACTACGAGAGCTGCTATCTGACAATTTTTGTTTATAAATACTTTGACTAGTTGAGCCATCAAATCCAGCTTTGTAATTTAGCGTTGCTTTATCTAACTCACGAAACAAAATAACTACTCTCTGTAATTCTACTAATCTTTTACAAGTATAATTTACCAGGGCTTGTAAGGGTACATTAGCTGAATAGTCACTAACAAGCTCTGAGCTCTATTTTATGCTGGGTATATACAAATTTGTTTTTCTAAAGCATTACTTCAAATGTATTGATAAGAAGTTTTTGATAAGTTACAACCGAAAAGTATTGCTCAAGCCTCAGTCAGAGTCATTGTTGTTAGTTTACTATTTGTTTCTAAAATGTTATGAACAATTTCACCTTCGTCTTTCCTTTATCATTATTTAATTTGACTTTAGCAGCAAATAATCTTTGATAAGTTGTACAACTATCCGTAACTGTACTAATTTTTCTATATTTTGCCTTTAAAGAACAATCGTCAAAGTCTATAATTGGCTTACCAATGAGATTTTTTAACTGTGTGACAAGACTTTCTGAATTGGAAAGAATATCTTTAGTCACTCTTCCAAAATCAATTTCTCCTTTGTCTAGCCATTCACTATACTTAAACTCAAATTTTTCAGCAATTCGTCTAAATTTAATCCAACGTTTTTTAAAACTTTTTAAAAAGGTTATTAATTTTTCCTTTATCTCCTCAATTTTCTCTTGTTTAATGAAGTCATTCAAACCAAATATAATTCGACAACATAGTTCGGAAGATTCATCATACATCGAGAACTGATTATTCCTAATATATTAGTAAATTTCAAAATATTTTTCATACAGCTAAAAATAAATGTAAACAATATAACGCGAATAAAAATAAGTAATAATTTAATAACAAAAGTAACCCTAACTTAAGTGATTACCCTAACCTAAGTTATTTCATGACAAGGGAGGATATGGTACAGCTATTAATGGAAATAATTTTACTTTAAGAATAACATATTTTTATCATCATCATTCAATCAAAATTAACAAAATTTATCAACTATTAATACATCAATTTTATCGGCACTTTTAAGTTACATCAGTTGTGTAACTTAAGTGAGGGATTTGCACAAAATGTATTTAGCTTAAGAGATTGGAAGTGCTAAAAGTTACAAAAAGTAGTTGCCAAAACTAATTTTAACTCATAGTAAAGATGTTAATCATATATTGTATATACTCATAGATGTGTTTGCTTGTGTTCCAAAAAGTATTAGGTTATATATATACCTCTATGATAACAGTAATAACGATTTTTTACAAGCCATTTTAATCAATAGAAAAAAAAGGTAACTTAGATTTATATTTTGTTATTATTTAAAGAAAGTAATAAGTTATAAATATATTTCAAAATTTATTAAAAATAGAGCTACAAATAAAATTAATTTTCAATTTG